CCCCCCCCCCCCTCTCTCTCTCTCATCCCTCCCTCTCTCTCTCCCCCCCCCCTGTGTCGACGCCGCTGTGTCTTCTTTGGCCTCGCGATTCCATTCCCACTCGAGCGCAGGGTATGCCCCCGGACGGGACCGCCGACACCAGTGCAGTATGACGCCACGCCAAGCAAGGCCTCACTGTCGCCGCCGCCGCCATCGACCCGGCCGTTTCCAGGTCATTCTCATGGCCACGGCGATGTAATGTCGTATTTACAGACCGTGGCATCACACCCGACCTGCGTAACCTGTTCCATGGGTTGGTTGGAGGCTTCGGCTTCCCCCAGGGCGTGATTGTGTCTTGCTCTGCGTAGAGTCAGCTGAGCATCATTTTTTCGCTTTTCTTCTGGTGCCGTTTGGGGGGGCGGGCGCAACGCGTTGTCCTGACAGACATTTCAACGGCTATGGGCTCAACGATCGTTCCCGGCATGTTTAGGTAACCTCCTCGGCAATACCCGTGGCGGTTCCCTGAGCAGTAGTCTGGCTCGCTTGGAATCCCGCGAATTGAATAACGGAAAAAACCGGCCTTGGTGGGAAGCGTGCCGAATGTGGTCACGTTTTGGCATCGGGGGGTTGGCCTCGTGAGATTGCCAACCCCAAGCGTCATGATGCGTAGAGATTTCGAGGGCCGTGGGGTGCAGCGTAACCGTTTTGGAAACTAGGCACCACGCCGTCAAAGGACTGTCCATTCGAGGCGAGGCTGTCCGGCGGTGCTTTCCTGAAGTGGGAGCGGGGAGTATCAGTGTAGAGCCGATGCTGACGAATGGGGACCCCGCGCGGGTCATGACTGCTGCCGCTGCTGCTGCTGCTGCTGCTGCTGCTGCTGCAACCAGGCCCTCGAATAGTATCTTTGTAACGGGTGTCATCGTCGCTATTATAGTAGTTCCCACGAAGGCATGCTGTTTTGCGGGATGCATGCCTGCGCGAGGCTGAGGACGGGAATGAAAATGCGGCGACCGAACGTCGGAGGACTCGCCTTCTTCTCGCTGCCCTCTCTACTTGTACCAGTCTGCGTTATCAAAAAGTGCATCCTGGGTGTTGGGAGGTGTCGTGTTGGCCCCCCCGTCCACGGCCACCTCATATATGGAAGCACTTGTAGCTTTAGGACCGCGCATGGGGAAAGGTTGGGAGTATCCCCACATCTGTATGTGTATGTGGCGCTTGGGGAGGTTGTTGTAAGAGTGGAGCGCGCGGACGGGTATTAGGACCACACCCTCCGGGTGTTGGCTGTAAAATGGAAAAACGCATGTGGTGGGGGTCACTTGGGGGCCGCGGGGTAGCGTGTTCAGGGTACGCCGAGCGTGCTGCTGCCTGGACGGCCTGGTATCGGGGTGTTTTGGGGGGTCTCCGCTATCTTGGGCAAGTATCTCTCGAAGGGAAGGGGGGTTGACGATCATCGAAGATTTCTCTAACGGTGGTCCAGGCGGCCATACACGGGTTCAGGGTGTTTCGAACACGCTCAAGAAAAACGCTTTTGTCTACCATCATGAAAGTTTTTTTTTTTTTTTTGTTCTCGAATGAATGTGTTACGAGTGAAACGAAAACGATGAGGTTCGCAATTAAATTGCTACGAGGCACCGCCGGGGTGGGTTTCACGATTGCGTGATGGGTCTGGAGATGCTTTCTGTGGCCTTTGTGGCTGCTCGCGCGCGCCGACAGTTTCATGCGGGTGAATGGGTTCCCTCAGAATCGACAGGCCCCCGTGCGTGCTTCACGTGGGTGGTGTTGGCGGCGACCGCGCTCTCCTTTGCCGACGCATGCTGTACTGAAACGGAAGTGTTATCGAAACGCCTGTCTTCGTCGCGGGGCAAAGAGGGAGGCTGAAAACGTCTCCTGTGTGTTGTACAAGCGTTGAGGAATTGCTGTTTGTTGCTGTCTTCCGTCCGACCTCCGTATGCATACCATGCACGAGCATCTGTCTGTGTCCCAGGCGATGCCAAAGAGGACGAAAGCCGTTCTAATTGTGGACTCCTACCCATGCTTCGAGTTCAATGAGAAACGGAATAAGCGTGGCATATGCATACAAGAGCGCGCTGTAAGAGTCCTCTACTGATCGGAACCATTATTATCATGCACATCCTCGCTTCAAACAGTGGAATGAAGGGCTCGTCGAAGGGCCAAGCGTACAACTCTGGCTCCACATTCTCGTCGTCGAGAAGAGTTTTTTGGTCGACATCGCCCTGGGGCGTGCGATGACGCATGCCCTCCAACGCAGCTGGGACGTTGCAAACATTCTCAAACTTGCTGTGTAATGCGCGTCAACTCCCAACAAGAGCGCTTTGAAGAAAGCGAATTAAGAGCCTATCCATGTTACCCATGTTACCCCCAGCGATACCTCTTTCCAGCCGCCCTGCTTATTTCCTGCAAGAATCAACGTGACTCCGCCGCAGATAAAAAATGGGCACATACGATGAATATACCACAACGTATGTGCAACACGAAACGGAAAAATCAACGCCACTCTGCGGGCGTTTGACGAGTCCCACGTGTTACTACCGTGGAAAATCCGTCGGCTACACCACATACTCCACCCACCCATGAAAGAACAATACGAACAAGCAATTAAGCGGTGGCTACACAGCCGCCATCGATTGTTCTCGCCCCCCTTTCCTCGCTGTGCCGTCAAGTTTGTGTGATAACGCCCTCCCCGATGCGTGCATGCGAGTGTCGATGACGAGGAGCAAGAAGAGCCTACAGACAAAAACACGAATTCTCAACAACAAGCCAACACACACAAAATCGCGACACAAAATCGCGACGCGGACGACGTCGAGTACGAAAAAAACACACGAAATACCCGCCACCCGAGGGTCAGCAGCGGGCGGAGCACAGGGCGGTGGCAGCCGCCGCCGCCTGATGTATCTACAAATATCTCTAGCCCAAACCTGCGGTGATCCCAATGCCATGCCAACTACCAATATATTTCCCACCGACGCACTGCGAGCCACCCCCTCTTCGCTCGTTTCTCTCACGACACCAACTTGCCAACTGACATCGTCGGACTTTTTCACTTCCTGCCCGACCAAGAAAATAACGAATACATACATGGGGCGCCGACACCGGCCAAAGAAACAAGACGCCCCCCGTCTTACCAGCATCGACCACAAACCCTATCCCGTACCGCATCAGGGGTTATGCGGGACAACGTCCGCAAACGATCGAGCGCGATATGCAAAACAGCTTCCGAAATAGTGAGATAGCGCATCTTTGCCGATTCCTTGGGCCTCTTTGTTCCCTGTTGGTAGCTTGCTGAGCTGTATGACTCTGTAGAGCGATTTAACTGGACGCGAGGCCACCTTGCCCCCACCGCCGTCCCTGCACCGGCCATGCTTTTCGTGTACAAGACGCCCGCATGAAGTGAACACCGTCACGTCGACGAGATCGGGGCCTGCGGCAATCGGGGGCGACGCGGAAAAATCCAAAGGGGGGACCCGTGAATGAATCCCACGAAGATAATATTGAGGGGGAGAGCAACGGGGAGGGTACTCATGTTTCGCATGCCTTAGTTGTTGCACCATTTTCCACACGTCCTTGAGAGGACGGGAGCATTGTTCCCACAGGATCGATCACGATGGCCAATCGTTCCTTCCTACTTTGCCACAGGTGGCTCAAAAACGGGTCGAAGGGGGGGTAGACGCGGCCCGGGGCAGGGACTCCCAACAATACCGGGAACAACGAGAACACTCGCTGTAGTGCGCTGAAACGAAAACCCTTGACGGATCAGACATACTGGACCCTCGAGCCCGTCTACTGCAGTATCAGCAAACTTCACATAGTTCGAGTCATCACCAGATGCTGAGCTCTATCCTACCGCCGGGGAGCTGTCGCCGTTCCCCCCTCGTCTTCTTTCGGCATTGACCTTACTGCCCCCCCCCCTGCAGGACGGCCCGCGCCCCTTTTCGTGTTTCCTTAGCCGAACAACGAGCGAGCTTTGGGCCTAGCACTGCCCGTCCCATAGGGTTTTGCGGAGCGTGTCCAGCCCCTCCCCATGCCGCTGCCACCGCTGTGGCTACGGCGTTTGTCTCCAGTGGAGCTCTCCCGTCAGCAAAGATAACAGTCCGTGTAGCAACACGACACTCGATATTGCAGCCGGGAATCAAAACGGTCCCCGAAAAGCAGACCGAGGGCTATCAAAAACGATTCCCAACTACCCCACACAACCCTGCAGCTATGCGTATCCACAGACAAAGGACCTCGCGCAACTCTAACCACTTGGAGCATATTTGTGACGTACGGCCCTCTTTCTCTTACCGGCTCCTCGACCTCACCCTCCGCCTCATCTGCCGCGGCCCCGAAATCGTCCTGCTTGTTGACGGCCGCGTTTTCTCCGTTTTCCTCCCTCTCTCCCTCCTGCTCCTCCTGCTCCTCCTCCTCCTGTTCTTCTTCTTCTTCCTCTTTGTTCTGGTTGTCGTCCCCCTCGCCTTCGCCTTCATCTCCGCTCCCCTCGTCGTCACCGCCTGCTTCGGAGGAAGGAGCCGAGGCCTTAGCGCGAGAGCGGTTGCTGCTTCTGCTGCTGCTGCTGCTGCGCGTCTTGAAGACTGACAGCAGGATCATGACCAGCATCCCGGCCTGCGAAATAAACCAACACAGAATTTTCCACAAACGGCGTTTGAGTGAGTGTCAGAGAGTTGCAACGGGTGTGGCAGGGTGAGCGAGGAGGGTGCACGATGGGGGGGAGCTCGGGAATCGAAAAACCTCCGTCCATGGTGATGCGCGGCGCCTACCGCACAGTACCGCACACCTGTTGTCGTGCTTCCATGCACCGGCATACTGGGGTCTTCGTAGACGACACGCGGCAATAACGACGGGTATCGGTCTAAGGTGTTTCTGCGCACACAGACACATACGCCTCTGTCCTCGGAAACCCGGAAACAATACAAACACATCGAAAAAAAGCGCTGCTCTGAAAAAAAACAACCACCACCACTAGCAGAACACCGCGCCAGTTCACTGACTTCCTTAGCCATGAAGTCAGCGGAAAAAATACGCGCACAACAAGCGGTGCATAACCATCGCTGGCTGTACCCACCGTGCGCTTAGCTATTCCTATCGCGAGCTGCATGGCCGCGGTCTTACCAGCGTCGTGCCGACGAGGGCGATGGGGTTCTCCGCTGCGGCGTCGAGGGCTGGGGCGGCGGCGGCGGGGACGTACGGCCTAGCCTTGTCGGCGAGTAGCCTGGACGTCGCCACCATCTTAGCATTCCACGACGCGATCGCCTCGTTGGAACCTCTGAAAAACAAAACACATTGCAAGGCAAGGCGCATGGTCACGAGACGAGACCAGCGGGACGAAACCAAAATCACGGGCAGTCTTTCTGTGATTGGATGGACGTTTTCTAAAACTTACGGCAATAGAAAGCAAGTTCAATTTCTTCGGGTACACGACCAGTGTACAAAAAAAGAATTGAAGAACGTTTGTCTTCCCTCCCGCGTGACCGGCCCTGGCTGATACGTCAAGTAGGTGTAGAACAGATGGCAAGAAGCGACTTGTGCAACACGTTCGCACCGACCATAAAACGACTTGTTTTGGCAAGCGCATGCAGCGCGTTGTCGCATTTTTCGATTTTTCGACCCCCTTCCAGGGACCTTGGTTTTAGTCGCTGGCACTGACGTCATTCTCTGTTAGTCGACTAGCAGGCGCGGTCGATGCCGACTACAAAATTTATGAAGACATACAGAAATCCTTGTTGCTTTACTTCTCCGCAGAATGCCTGACGTCTTTCGATCACATCGGGCTAGCGCGGTCGATGTCATTGAAAAAACAGACATGCACACCTCTCTCTCCTCTTGTCGGCACGCTCCCTTTCCTTCTGCTTCTTCTCGGCAGCCTTGACGGCCTCGAAGGCCTTAAACTTGGGACGCCAGGTCTGTTCGGCGAGACTGAGGGCATCTCCGACGTCGTGGCCGATGACGAAGTTGTCCAACCACACACCCTAGAGTAACCAAACAACCGAGACGTTTGCAACGGGGACGTCCATTCATTATTCATATACAGAGACGGTTGAAACTGGAGTTTCCATTCATTCCTAATGTTGAGATTCTTGACGTTGAAACGGGGGCATCTATTCACTCATCAAATGAACAGACTCTCGAAACGGAAACAATTATTCGTTTACCACTAAGAGATACTTGATACGGCGGCATCTATACATTCACCATGGAACAGACGTTTGAAACGAAAACATTAATTCATTCACCAACAAGAGACGTCAAACGGGGGAATCCGTTCATTCGCCACATCAGAAGTTTGAAACCGGGGTACTCATTCATTCACAATGTACAAGGGAGAAATGCATTCATCAACCATAAAGCAACGCGGGAACCAAGCGGTATCCATTCATTCACCAAAAAGAGACGTTCAAATGGAGGTACATTTTCATTCACCATGAAGTGAGGGTTTGAAAGGATACAGATTTTCATTCACCATGAAGAGAGGGTGCGGAAGGATACTAGTGTCATTCACCATGAAGAGAGAGCTTGAAACGATACAAATTTTCATTCACCATGAAGAGAGGGTTCGAAAGGATACACACTATCATTCACCATGAAGAGAGGATTTGAAACGATACAAATGTTATTTCACCATGAAGAGAGGGTTCGAAAGGATACATAGTGTCATTCACCATGAAGAGAGGGTTTGAAAGGATACAACTTTCATTCACTATGAAGAGGGGGTTCGAAAGAGATACACACTTTCATTCACCATGAAGAGAGGATTTGAAACGATACAAATTTTCATTCACTGTTCGAAGAGATACACACTTTCATTCACCATGAAGAGAGGATTTGAAACGATACAAATTTTCTTTCACCATGAAGAGAGAGGGTTTGAAAGGGTACACATATTTTCATTCACCATGAAGAGAGGGTTCGAAAGAAATACATGCGTTCAGTCAGCATGAAGAGAGGGTTTGAAAGAGATACACATTTTCATTCACCATGAAGAGAGGGTTCGAAGGGATACATGTTTTCATTCACCATGAAGAGAGGGTTCGAAGAGATACATGCATTAAGTCACCATGCCGGCTTCGGCAGTTTCTTGTGTCGTCTCCGGTGGGACTATCTCCGCAAGTGAAACAACAAAAAAGAAAGACAGAAGAAGCACAACTCGGATGACGGTGCGTGCAAATGCCGTTGTTTAAAAGCTACCTGGTTATCAAAGAGGGACAATATAGTCCTGGGCTCTTCCTTCATCATCGCAAGAGATGCATTCGGTCTTATGCAAAAAACAGCACAAAAAAAGTGACAATAAAACGAGTGTTTCGTACCCCGTCGACCGTCCAGATCTCCACAGCGATTCCCGTGATGGGGTCCACGTGGGAGGGTTCCGTGCTCTCGATGTCGAAGTAAGCCGGGTTCTGCGGAATGAGACCACGGCACAGGCAAGCGGAGGAGGTATGTCGATCGGCACGGGCGTTGTTGTGGCGTTATCGTCGGTGGCATTCCGGCCTCAACAAGTCTCATATCTGTACGAGAAAGATGCAGGCGAAAAACAAGCTATTAATAGCAGGAAATTTCCAATTATGACGGCGACGATGGTGATGACGATGATCAAATAACAGCAAGAGCTCCCCAAGACCAGCAACACCCACAACGACAACAACAACATGTGAGACGAGCGGAACAATCTTACAGAGTAGAAGGTCAGATACGAGTCGCTGCTGCTGCTTTCGTCAAACAAACGGACCTACACCCATACCCGGGATTCCGCGAAAGCATCCGGCAGTGTCAAAAAAATGATAATGAAAGACCCAGATCCACATGTCCCACGCAAGCCGAAACCACCCCAAAGAAACCGGAACGAAATCAGGAGACCACCGAACCAGAGAGTGGAAACGGTACGGGTTTTCCATAATGCTTCTTACCGGGATCTTTCGCGGCTGCCACTCCCCCTTGTAGTCCGGGTTGTCGATCTTCGGTGCGGACCACTTCCCCTTGTACGCGGGGTTTGCAATCAGAGGCTTTTCCCACTTGCCGCACCCCGGGGCCTCGTCGCAGGCTTTGTTGATGATCTGCACGCACATAAATAGTAACAACGGGAATGAGAGCCACGGCGAACACGGTCGAGATCGTGGCATGTTATAAAAGCGGGAAGGAGTCACAAGGGGAAAACAAAAGAGTCGCACCGACGGCGGAATCAGCCGAATGAACAGTAACAGGGGGACCAGCGCGCGCCACCCTAGGGCTTAAGACCATATCTCATTCAGAAATGCGACCTGAAACGAGAGGGTTTCCAGCCCAACCACCAGCCACAATACTAGCCCACCACCGGCGACAACACCACGACAACTACCAAACCCAGGAGTACCAACCGCAACAGGTTCAGGCCGCCCCTCTGCCACTATCACTCATTCACGAGGTGGTGGTTTCGAAAAAATGAAAAAGCAAGGGTACAAGTTGTGGATGGATAATATTGATTTTTTCAGCAATGTAAGTTGCGGGCAAGCAAGCCGAAAGAGAAAACCGTCACCATTGTCGGCTCCCAATCTCCGTCTTCCTCATCGTCCCAATCATCCGGTCTGGTCGATGAAGGATCGGGGATGATGTCCTCCTCCTCCTCGAGCCAGCCTTCGGGCATGTCCGCGTCCTGCGAAACGAACAAAGCCGAATCACGCCAAAACGAAACCACGGGCGCCCATGTCACTTTTTGTTCGAGGTGAAACAGAAACCGTGGAGGGGACCTACCTCGAAAGAAGTACAAATCATGTACAGTACACGTCCACTCATAAGGCACCAGCTGTATCTCCCCGTCGCATTCATATGCCTCCTGCGGCGAAAACCTTCACCCAACCAATCAATGTCTATATCTGTACCAGAGTCGCAACCACATAGTGCGGGTTTCAGTTTTGCGACCCACTGTTCAGGGGCATGCCCTGGTTAGCGGCCACGAAATCACGTGGCACCGCCGCACCCCGGTAGTACAACTGCTAAGAAATCGATAGTTCGGTTTAGCGACCTGCCCTGCATAGCGGCCACATTTCGTCGCGACACTAGTACTGTAGGGGTCACTGAACCGGGGCTTTTAGTGTACAGAGACATGGAAGGCACCATGGAGAGCATTGGGTTTCTGCCTGAAGCATGAATTGAAAGGTGTTTTACCTCATCGACGATCTTTTTCGGAGCGTCCTCGTCCCAGTCGTCCGGCTTCACCGCGGAGGGGTCTGGGATCTTGGCCTGCTCGTCGCGAACGTCACCCAACACGTCATCGAAAACGTCATTGAAAGAGTCATTGACAACGAAAAAAGAAGCAAGAGAATCCTTCATAAAAACAGGAAACTTTTCTTCTGTGTGATCCGGGTCGGCACGTCGAGCATATACGCAAACGTGTACACGTGTACACTGGCGCCCAGAAGAATATATTGTAGGAAGAACAAAGAGAAAGGACAGAGGCTACGCCAGAAAACAAAGCCAAGATCAGCGAAAGAAGCGGGATAAAACATGACACCATCACAGAGCAAGGCATGTCTGTACATGTGCGCGGCGGAACCGCCAAAAGCTTCAGTCAAAAAAGGAAAGAAAACATCGCAAGAAAATATTGCCTGTACAAAGCTGTAGTGACCAGAAACCAAGAATCGCAGTAACCATTTTCCTCAATCACCAATTCGCAAGTCAACAAGCGCTTTACCTCCGTAACCCAATCCTCCGGCTGCTCATCTTCCGGGTCGTCGATCTCTTGCGGCGGAACCAGAGGCGGTTTCATGTCCGCCAGCAGGCTGCCCGAGGAGATCATCTCGGTGTCGATGTACAGGTCGAAGCTGCTGTCGTCCTTCTTGATGTGCAGGGTGTACACGTGGAAGCCCCCGTCATCTTTGATCTAGAAATGGGACAGCCAGCGGACGGGATGGGAGAAGGGGGCAACGCAGATGGTGTTAGTGGAGTGGGTGGCGCGGGGTGAAACTGTGAACGATGTCATGCCAGCATGTTTACGTAGTTTTCCAGGTGTTATCAGTCGATTTTCCGGGATCAGTTCGGCTGAGATACTGGTCAAGTGTAGGGCAGAAACCACGGTGGAAATTTCACAGAGGGAGAGAAACAGCGTAACAGAACGTGCACATGACGCCGTAACGATTGGAGGAGAGCACTGGGAGCAGAGATGGACGCAAAGCGGCGGTCGATCTCGATGGATTCATCGACTAATGGGCCGTTGACTGCCGCAAATGCGAAAACGACTGTACCAACAACTAACAAGCACAGGATGACTACGTGGCACGGATTGATCAAACCCTCTTTGACTCGAAAAAACAAGTATGTACCTTGGGCGCGTTGCCGAAGTGCTTCTCCTCCCACTCGTTGGTGTTGGGGTTCTGGTGCTGGAGGATGAAGTGGACCTGTAGGTCCATACAGGGGTGGCACGGGGAGCGGGTACAACAGACAAAAGGCATTCAAGTGCCGTGCATATCCGTACTGGTTCCCGTCGTAGCACGCCTCTGTCGCATCCTGATTCTCAGGCGCATTGGGCAGGTTCGCGTTGATTGGCTGACTATTGGCGGCAAAAAAAAATCCGATCGCCGTTGGGGGGGGTATGCTCGTCAAAGAGCCGCCAGAAACCAAGTCTGAAGAGGGCCGCCCCGTGCCAGCGATGTCATGAACCGTACCACCCCATACCGCAATCTAGCGTAGTCTGTACCGTACTGTGCCGTGCCGCACCGTGGAGTACCGTACCGTGTACCCAGATAATAGACCCGGAAAGAAAGGGGGTTGTATCGGGTCTTGACCGTTAACTGGGATGGGAACTATACCGCCACGACAACGTATGATAGGGTGGCACACACGTTCGTGACGTCAGGGACCCCCTTGGGCAGGTTGTCAGGTTGGGCACCGGCTACGATGGAAGGTAACTTGTACGAAAACTAGTGACTGACTGCCGATCGTGACACGGGTCGTTGTTGGTGGTGGTCGCTCTACCTACCATCGTACTCTACCGCCATGGCGCCAAGAGACACTATCGAATTCCCCCTGTCTCTCAGGTGTACACCAATCAGAGGCTCGAACTGCAGCCCGCTGCATCGCTTCACGTGCGGCATACGTACCTTGTCGGTGTCGCGGAAGCACTTGTCGGGCCCGAACATGATAGAGTAAGGGCTGTCATTGTTCAGTGTCGACATGTCTTCTCCCGAGCCCCCCCGCAGCATCTGCAGTGGCGGCGAGGCAGGGCGGGTTGTGTGGTGGGTTTGAGTTTCGCCTAGATTAATGTCCATTGGCCACGGCTGGCATGTCCTTTCCGCGGCTCCCCTAGAGCATTCCGTGCGGTTGAGCACACTTGAAGCGTTTGACGCCCACTCTCCCGCAATCCCCGATTCAGCATCGCATAAAAAAAAGAGAAATAACTTTCCGGCTGTTCTTTTGGGTACCTCGAGCGTTTCGAGTGGGAAACGTTGACAGCAGTATCGATGAGACGCTCAGACCGAACGGCAGACGTCATTTCTGCACTACACCCCGCCCCCCCAGCGGGCGAGGGAAGTTAGTCAACGGTGCCCGGTCCGAGCGGACACGCGCAGAGCGCACCGCCTTGCGGCACCATCGGACACATGGAATGGCCGCGAAACCGTAGCAGCAAGAACACCCCCAAACAACACAACAACAACAACAACGGCAACGAAGACCCGTTAACGCCAACTACTTTGCCTGCCGCTCCTCACCTTGACGTAAGCTCCGCCACAGTTTGCTCCACCCCGGACCTGCACTTCGTACTGCAGCACGAGGTCCTGGGCACGGAAGACGACAGCACACGGAAAACAACAAGTCAACAACCAAAAACGCACATTGCCATTAACACGGCTGCCGGTACTACACTACTATGAACAGGCCATGACGCCTAGAATCCCCATACATCTTGAGGTCCTAGACGCCTACCGTACGCCGTCACAACCCTTAAGCCTCTCCAAACATCTCATCCAAACCTCGACATCAGCGATCAGACCAAGCGACCGAGAGAGCGCGTGTCACCTTGCCCGTGTTGTCGACAGGCTTCGGCAGGGTCGCCCCCACCCCGTAGTGCTTGTGGGACTCGTCGAGGAGAAGGCCATAGTCGCCGTGGAAAACGCCGCCCTCTAGGTCGCACCGCTCCACCCGTACCCTGGCTTCCTGCCCTTCATACTTGGGATCTTGACTCAGGACCCACTCACCCGTCCTGAGGGCGTCTTCTCCCTACCAAAGAAGAAACGGAACGGAACGGAACGAGTGAGTAGTAGTGGCTACGGCATAAGCGAGGACGAGCCAAAAACACCATCTATACGTCCGGCTTTGTCTTTAATCGTATTTTGGAATGCGTGTACTTCTCGTATCCTGTAAAAGCACCTTTGTGCTCTCTTACAGATACGAAATTTCTCTTGAACAGTCTCCCTTGAGCTGTTGCCGCTACTGCTGTACCGTGCCTAACAAGATACCATAACCGTAAACCTTCGAATTCAAAGACACATGAGTGGGTATGTTCGACGACGCCGTGGATCGTTGTCGGGTACTCATCATAGCGCGTAGAAATTCAAAACGATGACCAACAGAAAGTTGACTTGCTAGACTGCAGACGCTGGCGAAAGACAGCCCCCGTTCTGCTCCGACAAAGAGCAAGATGCGGGCATCCAAAAAACAACGGCTAGGCACCCCCGGACGTCAAGAGTGTATTGCTCTGTGGCGCCGTGCGACACTGTTTCGTCTACGCTCGGGCGGAAAGAAGGATGTACCATATGGAAAGTCCCCCATATCTTCTTCTGGGTGTCACTTTGGCAACGGCTGAAATACGCTACGTCGTATACAGGAAGCACCTGCACTTGACAGCTTCTTAGTTAAGACATTCATATAGCCTCAAAAAAGCTCAAAATCTAGAACTTGGTTAGAACACACTCAACGTACATGGCGGTCATTTGTAGCATAACCTTATATTTATTAGGAACTAAGACCCCCAGGCAGGGCCAAAACTAGAGGTTGTTGAGTGCGGGCGCTTTCTGTGTGGCAAAAAACCGCTGCACTTCGGCCCTATCCCGTCGGATGGGGAACTCCAGATCCCAGAAAGGAAATCTTGGCCCCCACTAAGATCCATGATTCCCACCCGGCTACGGTGACACCGTATCCATGCTGTTGCATGGTATCTTCCGTGAACAGACAATGCACTACACCTCGGAACGGAGGAACCGCAAGTCTAGCACAAAAAAAAATGGAAACAGCAGGTATGCCTAGAGACATGATGCTTCGATAAGTGCACAGATCGAGGGCCACAGGGTAGTTAGTGATCAGCTGGGACTGGTGACGAGGTGACGGGACCGGAGAATCTGGGACCCGACAGTACTCCAGAAAAGATCTCGCCGGACGATCTTGGGGGCTTCCACAAGTTATGCGTTGTACAAGCCATACGAATGTAAACACCACTGGCACGAGTTTTCATTTCTGGTCTTGATGCAACGTGATAGTGTATGGCGTACACTATTCAGCCAGTTTTCGTGGTTGACAATAGAGGAATCGATACGTACAGCGAGGAATGCTACACACAGCCGCGGCTTGAATACGCTTGATCGTGGTTACCCGACGTATCAAGTTGCTGTGTTGAGGGTTGAGGGGGGTTCGTCCGGGCTTGTATTTTCTACCTGGAAAGTTGATGCAAACTGGAAGCTTGACGTTTCGGGGCGCTTGGGGAAGTCGCCTGAGCTCGCCATCGCCTCGCTCCGTATCTTATTATTTTATCTCCTTCGATCCCTCTCTCCTGCTGGGTGAAACGGGGGCAGGATACCGTTGGCGGGTGTACTGCTGTACCGGGTCCAGCTGGTCTCTGTCCAAGGACAAAAAACGCACAAACAGTTTTCGCGCTACGATGAACATAATGCAATCCACGCCACTCTAATGCCTGCACCTGCCCTTATCTTTGGAGTCGGCAGTTGAAGGAGGTGGCATTTGTGGGACCAGAGGCGAACGCGAGTGGCGACGGAGACACGAATAAGAGGGAGGAGCGAGGTGGCAATAAGATGCGGCGCGATTAGATCTTGGATACACACCGGACGAGCCGAACCACTGTTGCGTAGGCAACTCCTTTGCTCACCCTGTAAGCCTCTCGCTGAGCAGCTGTGGGTAGTTTCAAACACCTCGGGTTCGCGGGGAAGAGGGTAAACTGCTGGGTCTGTACTTCAGGACTTCAGGTCTACAGCAGTACTTGGTCTGGCCAACACTGGGCGGGCTGTGATTGGTCGAAACCTGACGGGTTACCCTTTTTTGCGCTACGGCACCTGGGAGGCCTTGATCGATGGCGAGCGGAAAAAAAAAGATGGAAATTCTTCTCTCTCGTTCTGCGTTCTGCGTAGTGCCCTTCCAATCTCTCCCTGCTGCTGATACCTATCGATTGCTTCTGCTCTGGCGACAAGCTCCCATCGAAGCGGGCGGCATCGGCACGTCATCTTTTCTGCACTCGAAGGAGCACTGGCCGGCGGTACTGACAGAAACCGACCCGTACGTGACACGTGTGTCTGCACAAGTTATAGATTCTCCCCAGTTGCCGCAGCCCGGAGCGAGTGTTTGTTCCCGTCCAGGACAAGCAAATCTCCGTACCCAAGTCTCAGGGTGTGTGACGCCGCCACCGCCACCACCCCTGTGTGATGCGGTGCCAGAACCCTTGAGCTCCGAGCTGTGTGGTGGTGGGCGCGGAGGAATGTGGGTGGGATAGCAAGGCGTACATCCGATACAGCGGCTGGAAAACACAGAAGAACAGGGTGGGTCAAAGAGAGACAGCACAAAACCTTGAGCTGTTCGCCGGGTGCCCACAATGGCTACAACAACGCGAGCAGCGACAACAATTCTTCCGCTGGAGCTGGGCGACATATCCGATGAGCGTAGGGAGCAGCTGGAGCTTCGGAGGCAGCGAGAGATGGCTCGGCAGCAGGAGTCCCGGTCGGGCACCGGCAGTTTTCGATGGTCGCCCATTGCCATGATTCCGGCGCACCTCTGCGTACTCGTGTTTCTAGTCTTTCTGCTGGAGAAACTCGAGGGGGGTATTGGTTGGCCTTGGGCCGCGGTGCTTTCGCCGCTATGGATAACGGACGCCGTGTTCATCGTCATCAAGGTGAGGTCGTACGGAATTCAGCAGCAAGTCAGCTAGAATTGGCGTCGTCCTACAGCAATTTTTAGTAGGTACGCGGGAGATAATTAATTTGATTTTTCAGTTTCCAACTGTTTGGTTAAACACAAAAGAAAGGCGAACACGGGTGCCGCAGGTGACCACTTAGTACCCGCCTCCCACGCACACCTTTCCCATCCAACACTCCTTTGTTGCAGGAGTATGTGGGCCAGACGGGGCCTTTATGCTACAAGGTACAAGGTATTTCATGTTGACAACGATATCTTTCCTTAAATCTAGACAAACGCTCTTCATCTTCGGAAAAACAGAAAAAAACTTCTATTTAATGAGAATTAGACCGCCGTCAAAGTAATGCCATTTCGCCACTACTGAAGTCTTTCGTGTAGTCTTTCTGTGTGTGTTTTTAGTATTCCTTAAGTATTGTACAAGTCGTGGCGTGTGGAGGTCAAAACCCACCGTCGTTACCACAGAGGTGAAATACTTGATTTTCGTCGTCGTCAGCTGTTTAGCCCTCTTGGGTCTTCGGGTATGCTGGTTGATCATTGATAGATCATTTGCAAATGCTGCCGCCTTGTATCCCAGGTGCTGGCAAGTCCAAATGTATTATGTAGTTGTGTCTTCTTTTTCGCATCGACCTCGCTAACAGGTGACCATGAAAAGACGTGAGTGCAAGCGGCCCAAATCAAGGTCAGGGTAGCAATATTCGAAGAATGCACCGTGCGCTAAATGCGAATGCCGCCATGAGTCACTCTACATACTCCGTATCCTTTCACGGAGACGCACATCATAGCTTCACATACATTTTTTTTTTTTTTGTCTTTACTTCAAATCAGCGCTCACAGCACTAGTGCCGTTTAGTCCTACCCGTGGTCACACAGAAGAGTCCCTCTCTACCCACCCCTCCTGCGGTACTTTGCCTTCGATTTTTAATGCGAGAAGAGTTCAGCAATCTCTTCCCTCTGTGCACACACGAACTAGCGCTATCCACAAGGCCAGGAGCGGGAGCGAGAGAAAAACCGGCAGGTCTCACATTGGGGGGAAACAGAGAAGTACAGAAGTACAAAAATACCACCTTATTGTTCTACAAGCCCTCTCATAGATTGTTTGAATGTACTGAAAATAGTGTAGTTTAGGCAGGTTGACGACTGCTCTCTCAAGGTCTACAAGGCTATCCTGCCCTACAGGCCGCACCGCGACCACCTATCAACCCTCCCATGGCCCGGTCTGTGGCCACCACCCTGTCGCGGGCTGCCCTCATGGCCTGTTGGTGGAGATAGCTGTTGCGTCTACAGAAGTACGCTTGTCTCTTCTTTGCACTTCTTCTGTCTCTCTCCCGCACTCTCTCCCCTCCTCTTTTTCTTCGAAAAGACAAGGATTAGACCCAAAGGGGTTAATAGCGCCCTCAGCGCTCACGTACAACGTGGCGTGATGAAGCATTCGTACAAGAAATGTGGTCGGGATCAAGCCTAGCCTGCACTCCTTTCTTATTGTTCTGCAGGCGATCGATCTCGTGTTTTGCTTCTATGGGAATAACTAGCATATTATTTTCCTGATGAAAAAAACAACATACGCAATAGGCCCGGTCTACATACGAACGACTTGCGAAAAATCAATGTCAAAAGTCGAAACGGAGCTCTGATTGGTCGAAGATGACCGCAATAACAGCGAGGGCAGAGCTAAGTTTTGATTTCATGACTTTGAAAAAGATGTACTCTTGTATCATACGTGTATGCATACCACTCTTTTCTTACAAAAAAAGCAAAATCATTTTTCTTTTTACGGGCCATGTCAAGCCGATTTTGTATTCGAGACTGTTTTTCACACTTCGTTATTACGCGGTCTTTCGGGATGTCTATTTTGTTCCCGATGACGAGGTGCCACTAAAGCATGCCCTCTTCAAACAGAAATAGACATCAACGACCCTCCATATGCCGGCAGCCTTCGTTGGCATGAGGGGCACCCACGCCGCCAAACGAGACATTTCACACACATTACGTACGCGGATAGTTTCTTCGCGAAATTCTCGTCGTTTAGCAACGTCCTCTCAAAGGACATTCGTCACTCACGAACATCCCGCTAGGCCGAGCGTCGTGAACATGTGTTATGGAGCTGAGCTGCGCTCCTCACATGGGGGCTTGGGTGTGCTGTGGGAGCGATAGCAGCACTACGCAAGTATGGAAACGACAAACTCACGTGTTGCGGTCAGTATCAAAACCGTAGGCATTACGCTATCCACGCTATCCACGAGAACCCCTTACGTACAACGCTTGGCTATTTGGGTGGTTGCGGTTGACGGGTTGGCGTAGGCAGGAAAACACTGACGCACCTCCTTCTGCAGTATGTGAATGCCAACGGGCCTGTTTGGACGCAAGTATAGAAGTATATAATTTGCATTTCGCATTCACCGCGGTGCTGCTGTTGCCCCCCCCCCCCCTCTTCCGGTTTTCCTTTTTCCCCCGTCTGATGATTGGTCCGCCGCCGCCGCCGGAAAACAGTCCAAGGAGCTCCGCAAAATCTTGAGGACGACGGTGCACGTGCCGAGCGAAACTTACGCTCTCTTTCCGCCGCTGGGAGGGATAATTGACCACCTTGGTGTTGCTGCCGCGAAGGTCACCCTTGCTTATCGCCTGGAGGTGAGGATGCGCGGAGTTTCATGTAGTAGGGCATGGCGGGGGTCTCGGTTGCCTGTCGACTCGAAGTCTCGCAGGACGGTATGTAGTAGGGCATGGGGCGGGCATTGCTGGAAGGTCTCGGTTGCCTGCCGACACGAGGGTTCAACGTGCATCACACGGGTGTGCTTGTATCTTCACGCCACTCTGCAACGCACGCCGGACCCAGTTTGCACAGCTGCGCTAGCCCGCCATTACCCAGACTACAGGCAACCTTTTTGGGGTTATACCAGGAAGGGTTCGATGTCGGAGAAAAAATCCCCCAGTCAGACCGAGCTTGGTAGTGATCGCATGGTGACCAGCGGCAGCGATCGCTGGGGGATGGGCGGAGAGGATGGCGCAGAGTATGTTTGTGCCCGGCATCTTTCCTGCGGAATAATGCGTTGGACCTCCTTTGCGGCAATTCTGTTTCTCTGCGCCCGGCCAGAAACCACAAAAACGGAAAAATGTTCGTTCGATCTGGGTACCCACACGTCTTCGCTGCTGGTTGTTCCAACGTGCCGACAACAGTGTTGATTTTTCCGAGCGCACGATCGTACACATTCCGCAGGAGGGGGTGTCGGGTCACGATGTCGCCGCTCACCTGTAGCCTGCCTGTCCACACCGTTTCCGTCTTAACAAACCGCCCCCTGGTTGATGTTGTTTCGTTGTTGTCGCGCAGGGCAAGGTGGACTGGTCGCTGCTGCTGCTCTTCACGCCCATGTGGGCGTGCGTTTTACTGGCGGGGACGCTGCGATGCATCACCCCGCCCCACCCCCAGGTTAGACGAGCCTCTGTGCTACGTTGTACGGCATCTTGACATGTGTGTAGGGGTAGCATTCCGGGGGACTTGTTGGTAAACAACTTGTTTCTTGTTGCCAGAACTTGGGCTTCTGTTTTGAAATGGAATACGGAAAGCTCGTGAGCGCTCCTAGGTGTGGTACGCGTTCGCTTGAGGGAGGAAGTCCATGATTGGACCACCAAGCGCAGGGTGGTCCAAAACGTTTTTGTCTCTCTCACAAGACTTGAGTCGTTCCCCAACGCTGCGCAGCAGCAAACAGTCGGCAACAGCCTGTGACGTCGTTGCTACAGGCGGTTGTTCTTACACCCAGCTCCCTGCTTTGGCATTCGGCCGTCGAGGGGGTGGCTGTCCACAAAGCTCGTTGAAGCACTCTTGTAGATGCACCTACCCAACTTTGGTGCTGCCGTGAATATACAGAGTGCACCCACTTTGTTTCCCAGCTCGCTCGGGGTGTCATGCACCTGTGCACAGCAGTGTCGTTGTGTGCGTCTTGCCAGACGGGGCATCTAAGCTTTTTTCTGTTTCTTCGTCACGCAAGGGCCACGCTAGCTGGAGGCGTCATCAAGACTTGAATGAGTGCCCCCGTCCTCTTGGCTGTAACCTGTCTTGTCGTTGCTGTGCAGGTGATAGCCGAGCACGCTTCCCTTCACCGTGCGGGGGCGTTTTTCACCGGCCTCTTTCACCTTGTTGCTCGAGGTGAGGCCAGAGGCGTAGGTGGAAAAGCAGGCTTGCCGTGCGGCAGGCACCACGGCCGATATCGAACTCAAAACTGGACTTCCTCGGTCTCCCTTGTGCGTTTAGTGTTTGGTAATAGTTCAGGGAATGCCCAGCCCCATTGCTTGATCGCCCGCCAGTCTTGCTTTTTCGTATGTCCCACCGTCGTTCGTGGGCTCAGCCGCTGATAGCGAACCGACATCTTCGAAGCTTTCCCCCGCTACAGCAGCCAGGCGCATCAGCAAGTGAACACAACGACGTTTACCCCTCCATAAGAGTATGAACCGCGTTGTTTCCCTCGAATCACGAGTGACCCTCCGAATACCTGCGTGTTCTCAACCCCCCCCCCGTCTCCCCCCCCGTCTCCCCCCCCCTAGGAGCACAACCAGTGTTGATCGTGCTAAAGGTGGACGGGCAGTTGGAAGGCCCGTGGTCATCCGTGTTCATTCCGCTGTGGATGTTCATGGGGGCGATCGCGCTGGGGGGCTCCGCGCTGTGCTGTTGTGCTCCTACGGTGTCCCGGGGGGTTATTCCCGAGATCAGGCCGCTACTGATCCGGGGAATGTTGCTGTGCAGCGTGGGGACGTTCAGGTACTGTGGCTACCGTTTTTCTCTGTGCCAGTACATGGGTGGTAGCGGTTTCTGTGCTGCCGGGAAAGGCGGTATCGAGGAGAGGATGGCTTGAGAATGCGGTGTAAGATAAGAAAATATATGTACGTAGTACTCGGCAACACGTCGGAGTTGTCTCTGGACGAAGTGGGAGAGGGCCCAGTCTCGAAAGCGATTCGTCGTCATGACGGATGGCCACATGACTACGACAAGGCAAGCAACAATCGAGCTCCACTTCCTCTGGTCCACTGACCGCCAGCTCCAGTTCAAACAACGCAAAATCTCTAGAGGGTAGAGAAGTAATCGAAAATGACTTTCCGCGGTTGGCACCAGCTTTCCAGTGAGACGTTTTGGCGTACGACCGGCGCTTTTCCGGCCGACACAACCAAGGCGTCGTATTTTTCTGTAGCGGCAGACTGTACTCTCGATGCGTTGTGTGCGTAAGCCTTGTTTTCCTTGAGCCGTCGCCGTTGAGAGCGAGAGATGGTTACCTCTTGCTGCCCTCTCCCCGCCCCCCCTACTGCGCACGCCTCTTTTATCTCTCGTCCACTTGGTTGCCATGGCCATCGATGTGACCGTACGTTCCGTCGTCCCCGTACCCCGCGTGCACACGACGTGTTTTTTCGCGCGCGCGCAGCCTGGCGTTCTGCGCCCTGCTGTTTTTGGTGTTCTTGACGCTCGAGCTAGACAACAACGAGAACTTCTCTCCGAGAACGATCTTGGCCCCGCTCATCGCGCTCTACGCCCTCATCTTGGTCTTCCTGCCGCTGCTGCTGCTGGTGACGCGGCACTACGTTAGGGTGAGACCCATCAGCCGTCCCGGACTTAAACCGTGCCTAGTCGGTGGTGGCGTGTTGGTGCCAACCTGCTTGAAACTTGAAACTTTACATGTAGTGGGTGTTTTTTTTTGTTTCCATCACTTGGGGAGGAAGTAGTTGTGTGGAAACGACACGCATTTCAGTCCACAGGCAAAAACGTCTTCTTCAGGCGTTAGACTACTTGCGTTTCAAGTTGCTCTTCCCCGAGGTGTTGTGAGAGAGCCTAGATGAGGGCAGTTGTTGCTTTCCGATGTGTCGTTCTCGCTGGTGCTACTGCTGAGGTCGGGTCCTGATTGGATCTATCCCAGCGCAGCACACTACACTCATTGCAGAAATCAATGGCAGCCAGCTACGTAGCTTTGGCACATGGTTTCCGTTTGCCATGGACACCACCCTCCAAACGTACCCGCGTGTTCGTTGGCGAGGGAACCATGACCTCCCCCCCCCGCGCTTGCGCGTATGGCAAAATGCGGATCACCCAACCCCTAACCTTTCGGCTTGTCCTCATCATTTCCCCCCCCCGCGCAGACAATGCGTACCGCCGAAGAGCAATTCCGGCAAGCGAACGACCCGAACGGCGGCGGCGGAATGGACGCGAGCTCCACCGCGTTTGGAGGCGTCGACGATGTCGAGGCGGGAAGAGGGGTCAGGGGCAGCCCGCCCATTGGTGGGGCGGAGGAGGAGGAAGGGGCGGGGACTGGGCCGGAGGGGGGTAGGCGACGACGACGGAGGGGGTCCTCGGTGATGGCTCCCACGATTCTCATGCGAGAGAGCTCGATGCTGTTTCGTAGGGCGTCTGCGTCGTTTTGCCGCCGCCTGGGGGAAGCGGACGGGTCGCTGATGAACCCCGACGTTACGGCCTTTGAGGTAAGATTTCGTGCTGTTGAGGTGAGATATATATATATGTTTTGTGGAGGTGGTTCTTTGTTTCTTGTTTTTTGGGGGTAGGGTAGTCTAATCTTGACTTGCAGATTTGTGCGTGCGTCATTTTGGTGTGGTGTTGCCCCTCATTTATTGTATCGTCGTTGTGTCTCCCCCGTCTATTGCCCATGCGGCTTAATTAATGAAGCTACTTGTTCACGGTGTTTTGTTCCCCCACTATTTCTCCCCCGGCGGTCTTCCTTTCCTTTCCTTGACGTGTCTTCTTGTTATTGGCAAGTAGTTGGCCGACTGGGGTAGAAGAGGCGGTCGCTTTAGGTCCCGCGACTCCGACATCGCCGCTATCGACGACGGAGGAGGGAGCGAGGAGAGGGGGGAGAGGGTGCCGCAGCGTTCATCGAGGAGTTTCCACGTGCTGCAAGACTGTTTCCCGCATGCTAGAGGGGCGGTGCGGAGGGGGGGACAGAGGTTTACGGCTGCTGTGACGGGCAGTTCGAGTCGGGAGGTGAGACCGTTGTTGTCGTTGTTGTTGTTGTTGATGTCTTCAGTGTTGAGGAGGTTGTTGTCGATGTCTTTGCTGTAGATGCTGGGTGTCGTATTCTGTTGCTTGGACCGTTCATTTGTTGGCGTACTCACCTCGCTTTGTCAGCCGCATCGTTTTGGATGTAGCCTTGAGTTCCAGCGGGTCAAACGCGAAACTTCATGTGGGCTAGCAAACACACCCACCCACACGCTGCCTCTCTCCTTGACGTCGCCGTGCCGACCCAGCCACCCCAGTTGCGAACAGTCACCCCCCCCAAATAACAAAAAAAAACGCAAGAACGGTGATGTGACATTGTCCCCTGCCCCCTCGCTCCGGATACCCCTGCCGTATTCATATTGTTCAGGGTCACGAGAGATTTTCGGTCTCGTCGGGACGGCAGCTAGCGGGCGCGGAAAAGGAGGGATCGCCGAGGCCCCGAGGGGAGGACGGGGCTACCTCTAAGCGTACTCCGGAGGTGGGTACTAGTTGCGTCTCCCCCTACGGAGGGACGGAGTTCGCGGGTCCTGGTCGCGTGTAACCCTCGCGCTGCCTGACCCGTTGGCTGGGTGTTGATTGCTGTGCATTCAAGTTCGCGCGTTGTTTTTGAGTCGCGTCTCTAGAACGGGTCTAAGCCCCATCCGGAACCGACTCCTACGCGGCTCTTCCAACTGGTCAGGACACGAATATACGTTGTGGATGTTTGTGTGCGTGCGTGCGTTCGGTAGGTTGGCCCCGGTGTTGTGGCATCGGCCGGCATGGCGGGAGGTGTGCTCGATTTTGTCGATGCGATGAGTTGGGTGTACATACGCGTCGCTTGGCGACAGGGTGATTTCCGCGTTATGGGGTTTGCTTTCAGCGAGTGGCTTCTGCTTGTCAAGGTTTTTGTTGGCGTTGTTCTGCGGGTTGGACGAGAGATGCGCGTGTGATCGTTGACTCGTTGTAGGATTAAGTTATTGAAGAAGTAGCTGGATTCAACGAGTTTGTTTTGTTTTGGCCGTGATGGAGTTGAATTGTGCTGGTGAAAACCAGGGATGTTTGCCCGCCTAGCCTGAACTGTAGAAAGCGGAGCCATTTGGTGGTGGTTCTCCCCCCGCTGACTGCCCCCCCCCCCCTTGGCCTTTATTTGCAGGACGATCGTCATGACCAGTGCCTGCTACCTGGAGACTCCGGTACCCACTCCGTCACTGACAGTTACGACCTGAACAGCTTCGGCAGCTTCGTCGACTCGGACGAAGATAGCCACGAGGTAATGCTGCTGCAGTCTCAGAAAAAAGATTGATTCCGATACTTGTACTACGGGCTGACAGCACTTTCGTCTTCACGCGACCGTACATGACGTAGCGACAGAGAGAGAGAAAGAGAGGGAGAAAGGTTACGGTATATTTTTCCGCTTTAATACAATGTAGTCGGCGGCATCATGACGACTTCGGTTGCAGAAATAATCCATGACACACTTCATGCCTGCCCGTGACCCACCGGCCTACAGGTGGGACTATCGATCGATGGCGACGAGGAAGACGAACCCAGGGACGGCGGCGGCGGTGGCGGTGCAATAGACGGCTCTTCCTTCCACGAATCGTTGCCCGCGACAACCACAGAGCCCCCCGAAATTCTCCTAGGGTTCGGAAGCGCTCACGGAGCCGCGGCCTTTTCGCTCCACGGGGGGAGCGGCAGCGGCCACGGCCTTTGCCACGGATCTGCGGCGGCGGCGGGGGCCGGGGCCTGGGCCGGGGCGGGGGCAGGCGGCGGCGGTCTGGCGACATCCCGACATAGATGGAGCGCGGAGCGCGGCACCAGTAGCAGACGGGGGGCGGGTTCAAGCATCCACGGCGGCGCCGGCGGCATGCCGAGGAGGTTAAGCTGGCCCGGGGAGTTGTCCCTGGCATCGGTGGGCGGGGACGAAGTAGATGTTGCCGCCGTGACGGCGAGCGACGCAGAGGCGGGACGTGGCGGGGTGGCGACCGGCGGTAGTTCCGGTCCCCTCGCGGCGGCGGCGGCGGCGGCGGCGCCGTCGCGCCGAGAGCACTCGACGTGCTACATCTGCTGCGAGCGGAGGGCGGACGCGGTGATGATGGAGTGTGGGCACGGAGGCGTGTGCTTCACGTGCGCGACTACACTCGCGGACTCGCCCCCGCACCTCTGCCCAGTCTGCCGGAAGGTCATCCAGGAGGTCTTCAAGCTCCACGAGATACGGGAGTTTGGCAGGGTCGTGGTTGTGCCGCCCGCTAGCGGGGGAGAGGTAGCGGTGGCGACGGCGGCGACGGCGGCGACGCCAAGAAGAGGGGGCATCGGGGGGGAGTTGAAGGTGCCAGAAAGCGAGGGCGACCCGCCGACGGCCTCAAACGCGGCAGTCGGCGCCGCCGGGCTGTTGACCCCTTCTACCTCGGTCCCTGCCCCTCCCTCCGCCTCCGCCTCTTCCATGCCAGTACCGGGTGGCGTTTATGTCCAGCGGAGTGGAGACGCCCCCGCTGGGGTAGCGTCTTCGACGGCAAGGCGGGGTTTCTCCCCTTCTGGCCCCGTCTCGTCGCCGGAGTCAGGGCCGCGAAATACCTTGGAGGCGCAGGGAATGTGCGACGAAAGCAACTGGTTAGACCCGGTGTGAAGCGTTAGGGCGCGCACCGTAAGGCCTGGCAGCAGCAGCAGGTAGGTTCCCGCGGGCGGTTTTAACCTCACTCTTAAGTCGTGTGAACGTGAGGAGGCGCTTGGCGCCCGACGTGGGTTGTGTTTTGTGCGGAGGGTGTACCGGCTGCTTCAATGACACCAGCACGCAGGGTTTTTGCGAACGTGTATCGTTCGTCTGAAGGCATTGCGACAGGGCAGGGAGACAACAGCGGTCCAAAACTTGTTCGCACGTCACTGTTGCCCTCTGTGTGGCTGGCTGCCTCGTCGTGAAGTGCGTGTTTGTGTGCCGAAAGCACCCGGGTGTGGCTGAGGCGTCTTTGCGCAAAACCGCCACTCGTTTTGTCGACGAGTACTAGAAAGGAGTTCTGTGAGGTCTGTTTTGGGGGACGGGGGCGGGGGTCGTGATGTAGAGAACTGGGGGTTTGGTAGTGTTGACAACTGCTGCCGTGTTAGCCTCGTCGTCGTCTTGATTATTTGATTCCAGCAAGATTCCCGCTGTGTTTTGTGAGGTGTGTTGTATTCTTAAACGGCGCGATTGTAGAGAGAAACCATGCCATGCGGCGGATCGCGGCGTGTGTTTTCTACCCCGAGGGTAGTGTCTGGCATCTGGGTAGGCGGTTATTGTAGGCGGTCGCCGCCGCCGGTGCTTGGTAGCTCTTTGGAAAAAGAGTGAACGAAATCATGTTTGCGGGAGCACACGGCACTTCCTTCACCCGCCTAAAAGAATGATCAAGAGGTCATGAGCCTGGTGTTTGATTGCAAGGAGGGGGTGTGCCAGTTGAACGTGCGGTGTACGTCACCCCTGGCATGGCTTTTGACGCCCAACATCATCTTAAGGGAAGCACGCGGACGCTCTTGATGGTTGGTCGGGGGGTGGTCCTACGGTTAGCAAGTGGGGTTGGAGGTGGAAGAGTCGTATTTAAGTTTTGAAAGGAACATGGTCACAAGTTCATGGACAACGGCGGCGCCGTAGTTGATGCCTGAGGTAGACAGCAAGTTAGACTGATTGTTTTTTATGCAACGGATGTAGTTTTGAGCAATACATATATCTTGTGCGGAATGAGAGCACGATTTAGGCGATGTGCCCAAAGAGACAGGGGGTATGGAGGGCTGGCATTGTAAAGTGACCCCCCCCGCCGATTGAATGTTGTTATTATGTTTTTTCCGCACGTTTCTCAGATGCGCAGGCGGAGCCAGCCGTGGAATAAAAAATTGTTCCCTACAACTAGCTAGCTACAAAGGTGTCTCGTTGAGAGAAATTATGAAAACGCTTGGCCGTGTTTGTTGAGAGTCACAGGGCTGGCTGTGGAAGTGCTTGGCCGTGTTTGTTGAGAGCCACGGGGCTGTATTTTTTTGTTTTCGTCACCCCGGAAGGAGAGCGGAGGTTGGAACGGGATGCTTGACTTGAGTGATAGGGGGCGATTTTTTTTTTTTTCTCTGTTTTCCTCTCTTCGAAGACAGCACTCTTTATACACTGCAGGTGGTTGTCTGCGATCGATCCTGCACCGAAGATTTTGTAGCAAGAGAAAGAGTCATCGTTGTCCGGGGCGGGGATGCTGCTCGCTTGGTTGTGGGGACTGGAGGTCGAGATTTACATTTGTTATTGTTTTGTACCCGTTCGTGCGCCGTATTTGAAGCTTGTGGGTTTACTGGTGGAAGTGTCGGCCCGCGCGCAAAAAACTCTTTGAGCAGGACTCAAGAGCCTTGCAGCGCAGCGTCTCTAAACGGTAGAGGGCACAGGCTGCTTGTATTGCTATGCCTATCACATGGAGTAGGATTTAATTTCTCACGCGGTTTTTCCTTGTAATTTAATGATGAAAGTGTGTGAACCTCGATTTCTTGTGAGGTTGTTTGTTGTGAAGGCCCGCCGGCAATGCATCTCATTTCTTCGTGTTATCGCGTGTGGTCACGGAAATTGTCTCTTTTGTGGCGGAGAGTAGGGAACAAGAGCTGGGTGGTTTAGATGTAACGACACCAACAACGTTCGGAAGGCTGTTGAATTTTGTTCCACGTGTTGTGTTCTATTCTCCGTTCTGGTGTCTTTGTTTGGACACCAGCACGATCGCTGTTTCGGCGATCATGTTGTACCCGACTCTTGTTGTCGGGAAAATGCTGCCCTCACAGCCCAGGAGGGTCTACCCTCGCTGCTCGCCCTCCTCGGAAATGATCATGGTTTCGGTGGCGACTAACAGACAGACACATAGTCTAATTGTAATCCACACCGCCGCACCAGCAGTTGTATGGATACGCATATTATGGTTGGTCCCCTCAAGTCCCGTCCGTATTTACTTTGGTTCATTCGTTCATTCTTACAAGGAAGTATCAGTACGTTCCATGACCTTTCGGTGGCGACTAACAGACAGACACATAATTGTAATCCACACCGCCGCACCAGCAATTGTATGGATACGCATATTATGGTTGGTCCCCTCAAGTCCCGTCCGTATTTACTTTGGTTCATTCGTTCATTCTTTCAAGGAAGTACAGTATACGTTCCATGACCACCAAATATGTATATTCCAAAGCTCGGATTGCACCTACGGTAGTGAAACGCTGCAGTAGACCGGCGACGGTGCCGAACTTGATTGGCGGAGTTAGAATCGCCTCGTCGAGGGCTTTTCGAAAACGCCTTGTTTGAGTTGTAAGCGTCCTCTTCATCGTGTAGTGGGAGCGTACCGCGCAGTACACATACAGCAGTCCACGTTACATTTCAACTCGATCCGGGAGGGTGGTATCTTACGCAACCCGCGATCCGTCAGGGATAAACAACGCGGTGCTTCTCTGTACAATGTACAAGCACCGAGGAAGGTTCATCTAGTAGGTGATGGCACCCTTTGTGGTACAATCGCTCGGCGTTGTTTTCCACAAGACACACACATGAAGGAGACTTCTCAACAACCCTTATGTAGAGCTTGGCAGAGCTGCTGCTGTCTATACTGTACGGATATGCATACAAAAAATTTGGAATTTCTCAGTGTACATACAATGCGGCTGCCTCTGATGATTGGCTGACAGCCGACAGTCGCTATTCTGGTTGACAGAGGCAGCGCAAGGTTGCTCCGTCTCGTCGTGTCTCTAAGGCCCCCCATACTTCCACCGCCTCGGGCTCTACGGGCGAGTACGGAGCAGGGTGGGCCGAGCAGTGCGCGCGCGCGGTGCGGGCAGCCCCTCTCCCTCGTTGGTTCTGCAAATCGAAGATCTACAGCGCAGTAGAGCAGGAGAGCGTGGTTGATGGAGGCCTGAACCGGCCGACTTCTTCTGAACCGGGGCATATAGAGTTACCGCAGCACAGTGTGGTCCAGCTGGTTCCTCAGGCCACCCTATCATGGTCCAAGCAACGGGGAGGAGGGTCGCTGGTGGCCTCCTTGCGATCGCGTTGGTGATAGCCACGGTGTACACGATCTACAACGGTGTTGTTGATGGGAAGCTGGCGCAGCAGCGGCAAAGAGAAGAAGAGGAGCTTCTTCCGGTGGTGAATTGGCAGGAGGCATGGGAGCAGCACCAGGACGAGGAGGAGAGGCAGCAGCAGGATCGCTGGCCTGGTGCTCCATTGGTGGCTAACGCCAGAGGGCTTGCGTCCTTCTCCTCACCGGCAATCTCCACCATTCTGTTCCTTCACGTTTTCAAGGTATAAGAAAAGAAAAAGGAAGGCTTCCGTACATGCAGTACATGCAGGGGGTAAGGGAAAATGACATTTTCGCCCAGAACAGGCACTACTGCTGTAGGCAGCAGCCCCGTCTACCTATACTGATACAGAGGGGGTCCCTGTTCACCCGGCATGTGCCCAGAAAATCCACCGGCACCATACCGGACTGTCACTATTCAACGACTATGACATGGAAATTCACTGTGTGCCCGCCGAAAACACCGACACTACTGCTGTTGTTGTTGTTGTTGTTGTTGTTGTTGTTGTTGTCTTCACATTAAAAACCGTTCCGATCTCTCTCTACCCAGTACCTTCGTATGTCCGTACTGATCCGACACTCGACGCGGTCGATTCCCGTGGTCACAGGTTAACTTACCCTAAAAAGGTACACTCAAATAAACTGGCCCCGAGGGGTCCGCAAGTCAATAAAAATCAACGACAGATATTCTGGAATCCTCCACTCCCTCTTCGCGCTATGCGAGGTATCAACTGAGACTAGCAGTCACTATTTATCATGGGCCGGAGGAAAGAGGTACACCCCCTTGGTTCATTCAATCTTGGTACTTCACAACGCAAGCAGAGACAAGGCCATCTGGCACAGAAAAAGAGAGAAAAAAGAGAGAACAAAAAGAAAAAAGAGAAAAAAAGGAGAAAGGAGAAAAAGGAGATGGTTTCGTTGTGTCATATTAAGAAAAATAAAAAAAGGAGAAAATAAAATAAAAATGGAAACCGTAAGGAGAAGAGAAAATAAATGAAAATAAAATGAACCGGGCATTGGTAAAGTGGGAAGCATCAGCCGGTACTAAACAGGGACCCCCTCAGTACAACCCGGGGTATTCATTCGTGAGGCCACACTCACTTCATGTATGCATAGCATCCGCCATATTTCGACACTCAGTATGCACGCGCTCAACATGTTGTAGTCGCTCGGAAAAAAATAGTTGGTCGTCAAACATGCGAGACGTGCACCGAAATCCGCACAGGCCACCGGGCGCGCAAGATGAGTTGTACAGCTGCCGAAGTTTCTGGAGCCGTACGTACTGCTCTGCCAAGCGCATACGATCAATCCTATTGCGGCTAAGCTCCATCCACTTATTTTCGCATGTATTACGTGCATGCATCACCATCTTTTGTCTTGCGGAGTGTACTCTCCCCACCGTGCGCACACGTTTCGTGGATTTCTTCTCAAAAACACACACTTACACTCCTCAATACAAGCAAGAAGTCACACCGTGACTTTTCGTCACACCCATGGTTTTTAGTTTGTTCGGGGGTGTCATAATGTGTCGTGGTTTTTGGCAGAGAGGAGAGATGCGGACGGACAACATGACAACCCACCATAAAGAGTAGATTCTTCGCCCTATCGGGGGGGTGAATGGCTACAAATATACCATTGAGAGGCGAGCGACTGCTGCCACAAGCGCAGCGATGTAGAGAGAGATAAAACACCCACCGCAGTGTCGTTGTCTTGTTGTGTATGTGCGGCCTTGGCGTGCATTGCGTCGATGGGTCGCGGTTTGCGTGAGTGAGGCGTGAACCACGAGGATTGGTCGTCCTCTGCAATCTACTTGAATTGAAATGATTTATGGTCATTAGGATCTTTCGCACATTGATGATACTCACTTGGATACAGTAGTTCGTGTTCCAAATCTGCGTCTCTCTGTCAATCTCCACGCGGAGGATAGATATTGTCGTCTCGACATGTTACTCGTTGTCGGTAGGACAGTTTTCCTTCATCTTGGTACAGTAGTCGATGTTGTTGTCTTTCTGTGCACTATTTGAAAGGAGCATGACATCCTGGGAGGGTGTCGTTAGCGTGTTGGTTCTCTACACAGGGAGTAATGTTTCGTAAGCCGGACAGCGAGAAGAAGCATCAACATATTTTTTATTTCCGGCTTGCTCTCGACCTGAAAACAGTTGTTATCGAGAAAGCTCTCGACGAGACGGTTCTAACGCCACCAGTTTCGGCACAGCTGTCACTGCTTTTGGCTGCGGAGTGATTTGAGCTTTGAAAATTGGTCGAGTTGGTTGTGGAATATTTTGCGATCTACGTACGTTGTTAGTCTAAACCATCTGATCGATCCTTGCTAAGTACTGCATTGACCCAACTGACGCGGATGCGTGGCGGGGTCGCAGGCTTACTACCACTAAAATAGGGTACAGGCACGAAACGGTAGAGGAATAGCGGACCCGAACAAGAATACCGTAGCCTAAACCAGAGGACAGCCACCTTGGTGGCATATTCCGAATGTATAGCGGTATGGCGCAAGAAACTCAATCCAGCGTTGTACGCCGGGGGTGTTTTTGCTGAGTTTGAACACATTTTCGAGCGCCTTATTTTATTTTCGGTCAATAGTCTGTACGGTAAATGCCATCCCCAACTTTGCTTATTTTCGGATCACAAAAGATGTGTGAGTGCTCAGGGCGAAGAATAAGAATATCCAAGCAACGGATGAAAACGGATTGTCATGGCAAATCAACGACAACGAACGGTAGTAACCACAACAGCATGCATCGATGCCGCAGTGTGCCGGAACAAGTCTCCGTGAGGTGTTCATGGCCTTCGCGAAGACTAACGGCTGGACCGGGGCCGTGATCGCTGGGTGCAGCAAGAGGCAGAAGGAGTTTCAGTTTCACGATCCACCGGTGAGAGGTACAGCGAGGAGAGTGACATGGAGCGGCTACATGAATACCTGTATTGGACGTTGTATGTGGGAGTGCCGCATAAGCGTCGCGTGAGCGCTACATGGGATATCTTGAATTTTTGTTGGATGTTAGGGACCGTTGGCAGGTATTGAAGTACTTGGAGGAAGGTCAGGTCTCAGCCCTGCCCTCCTGCCCTCCTCGTGCTTTCCAAGTGAGTTGAGTGCTGAGCGGACCTGGGCGAAGGGGCTGAAACACATCTGTACGTACGTCGAAGCTGGAAGCAGCAGAACTGTCGCCTTCTCTCTCTTTTTTTTTGTTCCTCCATGACAACAGAGAACAAAAACACACGGCGCGTCAGTAGGAAAGAAAATGGGGCACTCAGATGATTGCGAGTTACCGAGGGGCTGGTTATTTGTTGAGCGGAGTGGGTCAAGCGGCAGAGCCCGCGTTTTGGTAGAGAGATGCAGTCTTCTAGTGTTGTGCAGGTTGGCATCAAACATGCCCACGTTTGCGATGCTCTAGCCCTTTTCCTCTACGATCTACTGGCGCGTAGCTGTTGCTTGTCTGAACCCTTCTTCAGATTCTACCACGTTGGTGTCATGCCGATTCTATGAGAGCTCACACTTTTTTCTATGCGGCTTGGGTATTCTCCACAACTGCTGTGCGCTTTTTCTTTTTGCCATCTAATCAAATATTTAATGTTTGCTAACCCTGCACTTCCTGCAGAGTGTAGTGCCCCAACTACTATGCATTGCGAGCGTGTTCTACACCATGGTCAGACTAGGTTGCCCGGAGCTCCCATGCGTCAGCGTGCCTTCGTCCCGTGATATTTTCCGACTAGTTCGTGTCCAACGCATGGTTTTGTTCCATCCCACGTGTACCGCAAGGAAATAATGTGCACTCCATGCTGGCTTGCACTACTTTGCGTTTTGTACTAAACAGATGTGTTGTTTAACATGGGTCGAACGCTTGGGCGAACCTTTCTTCCCGAGGTGTTGCGTTTTATGCTGCCTTAAGGTTAAGCCCAATGTGGTTTCGTGCAGCGTTAGCCTCAGGAACCCCTCACGAGAGCTAGCAAAGACTGCGTCGTCTTTGTCGGCTACCGTCCTCACATGACCAACGAGAGGCCTACGCAAATTTCCCCGTTCCATCCGTACACTGGAGTGGTGGTTGATTGCTTTCGAGCATGGTGTTGAACGAACGGATCGCAATTGGCCCTGTCAAAACTATTCGAGGGCTGGGAAGTGCGACGAGGTCACCTGGTTCGTGGGTCTACGGGTATTGGTTTGATATGTCTGCCTTACGTTTTTTTTTGTCGCACAGATGGCAGAGACTACTAGGTGGTAGGGGTGCCGTGATGATACACGGGGACCCTTTTTGTTTGGTGTGCTGCATGTCAGCACTCCCTCTTAGACGCCACGCCCTGGTACGGGCGTTGTCTCATCTCCTGAAAACAAACAAGTCTAAACCCGAGAAGTACGCGGTACGGCTGCAAACAAACCTCTGGTCTGTTTTGAGGGAAACCTAGAAGAAAAACCCAAGCGGTGCCCCTGATGTACTTCGCGACGGGGGCAGGGCTGCACGTATTTATTTTTCTGTGTTGTCGTGGTGCGGCGAAACCTTCCAATCTTCCACTTACAGCGGATTTCAGCCTCCACTGAGGCGTCCCCTCGTGCGGTCGCACACACAGTATCCATTTCGCGTTTTGGCGAATGTTTTTGGCGCACCAACAGCGTCACCTCGACCTCTTGCTGGTTGACTCATGACCCGTCTCGACCGCACATGCTACACCGTTCTTTCTGTCCTCGCACAGGGGTCCATCATTTGTGTCAGACACGAGGATCATCGGCCGAAGGACGATAACATCGGGAAATGGCTTGTTTCGGGCACCAAGGTCTTGGCGGGGCATTTTTTCTGGGGTGAGGTTGCCCTGTGCAGCAGACGACGAATTGCGTTCCACCTGCGTTGTCCTGTTTGGGCCTTCGAGTCTTGTGCTGTGGCAACTCCCTCATCGCCCTTCCCACCCTGACATATCCTCGTTCTTTCTGATGAATTATCACTTTTGCTCCGGAGTGAGGTACATGTCAGACAAAGGCGCGACTGTTTTTTCCCTCGCGTAACCCTCCCGCCCCACCTCAACCAAAACGATTTCGACCGTGCCTGGACTTTCTGTTGAAAATTGGGAAGGGTTGATCTGTCTCGGTACCATCCCCGCACAGCATTGTTCATGCGTTCTGGACTAAAAAGTTCGTGCCTGGGCTTAGTTTAGTGATGTCAGAGCGTGTGACGGGTTGAGCTATCTCGGCACCATCCCGGCACACCATCAATGATGCCAAGAAAACCTGGTTCCCGCCCCCAAATTCGTCCCCCTTATCCCCTCCCTGCCCCAAGATTTCCGACTTATGGCGGCCCCGCCGTATCTAATGGTCACGACTCTGAGGAACCCGCTCGAGCTGTTCGTGTCCGCGTTACAGTTCAAGCACCGGGATGAGACACGGACATTGGCGGGGGCTACGCGCTTCGTGACCTCGCAGATGCGAACAATATTGGGGTGAGACTGTCCAGGTGCCAGGTCGCTGTCTAAGGTAACCGAAGCTAGAGTTGGTGTTGTCGGTGCACGTCCAAAGCAACCAAGGCGGTAGGGCTGGAGCGTTCGTTGGTGGTTTTGAGCGGCCAGCTGTTTGTGCGTGCTGGTCGTGAAGAAAGCCTCTGAAGCATTTTTCTAAGACAGCATTGAGACACGGTTGGACATGATTATCGGCCAGGGAAAAATTGGCATGCGCGGGATGTTCTTCGCGCCGAGGCGCTCGTGCTACCCTTTGGTCCAAGACACCCTCGTGCCAGAGTGCTTGGCACTATGTACTGCGTACCCGCTCGAGTGCCTGAGTTATTTTGTGAGACCGTACGCATACTCGTCCTGTGTTATTGCCTTTCCCAAGCTGGTGATATATTCAAGTACTCCTACTGTCGTGCACCACATTCACCATATGCAAAGGAACGGCAGAAGCCTTCTCGCGATAAAAAAAAGAGGCATACACCGCCGAAGGGAACTCGGAGAAACCTCCTATGTGTCCCCAGTTGGTGCGTCCAACACGCCGAAAGCAGTAATCATCAATCTACAGCAAAATATGTTGTGGGAGCCTAACTGGTGTCGAAGTGGGGACTCAGCGAGTTGGCTCTCGTTCCACCAGACCGAAATCCCAAAGCTTGGATGGTACCCACTTCGATGGCACACGAACACGGCGGCTCGTGGCTTCCTCGCGAAGGAACGCGTGTGCCCCTTTCCAGCGGGAGCCTCACCATTCTACGTATAAGTAGACGCGTCAGCTACGACTTCTTTGTCGTTTTCTGTCTGCATCTCCCTCTCTCTCGTTACGTACCTACCTACCTACGTTCTTGCCCTGTTGTTGTCGCCACCTGTTTCTGTTTCCGTGGTCTTCGTAGCCAAAACTGATACGGGACACGGGACACGGGACACGGGACACGGTACCCTATACCGCCGTAAGCGCCATGAATTTCAGGATTGAACGGGAAATGTGCCTTTGTTGTTTATTCAATAGTCCAATCTTCTCCAACTTGTTGTTGGAAAAACATTTTCCAGACACCAAGTATGTGAAGGGAGCGGAGAGGCCGATTCGAGCCATTCGGTCGCCCCTCCGTCCTGTCGCCAGCGTCAAATTCTATGTCCCACTAAATATCCGTACAGTAACGGCCAAACATATTGAACTCACACGCCTGGAAGGATGTTCTTTGTCGCGGGCCCCAATTCTAAGGTTAAAGGTTAAAGGTTAAAGGTTAGTTTCTTGGGGCCGCAGTTAGGGATGCGTCACCTCCCCCCACCGGCCAATCTTGCGGCCCTGTTCGGACTTATTGGGCTAACGTCAACGCTTGGTTTCATCACGATGTCGGGGAAACTTTGATATTGTTGCATTTGACAGGGGCCCCGATATTTGTTGCAAGTGAGAAGGCGAGAGCCAATGTCGAGGTTCTAAAGGTTGTGCTGCTGTTCTTGTGATGCGGGAGGGTCGTTCATCACGGCAATGCTTCTGTTGGGGCCCACCCGTGGTACACGCTTTGCTGATGGGACTCCGTGAAGCACGATTGTTTTCTGCCCGGGGCTGGCAGCGAAAAGTTCATGTAAGGTCACGTGCTTTCATCTCAGCATTCCACCCGCTTGGGACTCATGTTGGATTCGTGCTGTTTGATATGTGTGTATGTATGCAGGCTGGAGGGTCTTGGGCAGCTTGGTTTCATCCGCGTCTTCTTGAACGACACCGGCGCGGTTGGCTACAATCCCAGAGGCGTGTACACACACAACGAGGTGCGTGAACCGAGGCGAGATGAATCAGTAGTCCGTGGCCCTTAGTTGTGTACGCGTCTGATCTTGACTGTCGTTTGCATGTCTTAGTTCCATCTGAGGTGCGGTCGGAGCGCCGTGTGTAAAGACTTAAGTAGCTCGGCAAGAACAAGCGAGTGTGTTTGTCTCACCAGCCTTTGGCATGATTTGCCATCATTTCGCCCTACTCTTGAAAATATTTGTCTCTGCTCACCTTCCTGTGAAACGTTTTTTTCTCTTGTCTCACCTTTGCTTTGATACGATTTTTGTCTCTGTCTCACTGTTTTTTTTTTCAGACGTGGGCGATGGCTGCGGAGTCGGTGGAGCATCTCAACACCTTCTTGGTGGTGGGAGTCGTCGAGCAGTACGAAGGTTTCGTAGAGGTCTTGAAGCACACCTTGGACCCAGGGCTGGAGAACCCGTCCGTGTGGACCACAGGGGCCAAAGTGCAGAACAATAAGTGAGCGGGAGATGAGCACTTTTTTTTTTCAGTTCGAGTTCCTCTTGTACCTCAGCATTCACACGGGTCGTTTGCCTCTGTGCCATTTCGAGGACGATTTGGTATCAGTCGAACCAACGCCCTTCACGCAGTCATTTCCTCGAGGCCGGACAGCCAACCATCTCCTCTGTTGTTGTTGTTGTTGTTGTTGTTGTTGTTGTCGTTGTCGTCGTCGTTGTTGTTGCTAGGCCTCCCCTCGGAATCACAAACGTTTACTGTAACTGGACCCGATTGGTCTTGCTCTATTTTGGAAGAGGTACATGGCGAACGCTCCGGGGCGCGTGTTCGCCCTCGGAAGTCAGGACGCCGCCCCCCCGATGTGTTCGCCTTGCCCCGACGTTCGTGTTCGATTTTTTCCGTGTGTTGTCGGGATCCAAGGCGGGGGGGGGGCTGGAAGGATTTCGTCGTTCCATGGGAAGGTTACGAAAAAGCAAACCTTGTGATGGGCACCGTTTTCACCCTTGCGTACAGGAAAATTCCTCGGGTGATTTGGTCGGATTTAGTTGCCGTCAGCGTGCTTTTGGCACCTAGGTAGGTAAACAAAAAGGTTGCTGAGTTGGTTTCAGCAGGGCGCTTTGCCATACGAACGTCAACACACCCACCACCAACACAAGCGATAAACTGCCAGGGCCTTCCGATGACCATCCCTGCATCGTTGCCTGGTACAATTCTGTCGGGGTCCGCCAGGTCACCAGTTTCTTCCCGGGACGTGCTGCGGAACATCGACCCCTACCTCGTCAGACTGTACAACGAAACGCGACTGGACTTACAGTGGAAGGTATGCGTTCAGCTTTTTTCTTCGACCCCAATATGTTCATCATATGACTTGGTCACTTTTCGTCTTTATTTTTTTCGCGGCAGCGAGTCTTTTCTCGCAAGTCCTTCTGAGGGGCACGCAGGAGGCTCGTCGGAACATTATCGCCTCCGTGGCGTGTGTGGTTGACGGTCAAAGTTGTGAAAGTTGGCTCTATTCCCCGGGGGCGTGTTCCGCGAAGGAAAAGTCCGGCGAACCAATTCTGAACCCCATCGAAAACGAAGTGTTTTTTCTTCTCCACAGTCATTAATTAATTCATTCATCCATCCATCCATTCACTCATTCATTCATTCATTCATTGGCTGATTCCTCATCGCTGTGACTCTTTCTGTCATCGCAATGCCCAAGAATGACTGCCGAGAAAATTCCGTTGACAATGAATAGCGATCACATGACGACATCGGTATCTAGAGCAACAGAAGCGGCAGCAACAACGACGAGAAAGAGGTGTTGTGTTTTGTTTTGGTCCGACGTGTTACTGTGCTTATTTTAGCCGGATGTTCTCGAGCAACTAGCAATCGATTCACCTGTCACGGAGCAAAACAAATACGGCACCCTGGGTTCTTTTCGCTGCGTCCTGATGTGGAGGGACAGCTGCGCACTGAGATAATACGGTTCAGGAGCGCATAGCCCCACATGCTGTTACCTTCGTACGTGCGTACCCAAGAAACACTGTGGAGAGCTTTAGAGTAAGCATGCGGGTATACGGTAGATGTTTGAAGTTCATTTCACAGAGTCTGCACGTAGGCAAACTATCTGTATCACACCACTTTCCTGTGCAGTAGAGCCCCCTTAGAGGACAAGCTGCAGCTGCGATTGGCCAAGGCTGTGCGGGTCGTCATCGCCCGACGCGCATTCCACCCAAATCGAAAGACTGACGTTTTGACGTGTTTGACGTGTTCGAACGGCAATGAGACAGACGTGTTTGGAAGTGGTGTGGTGATGGTGGCAAACGGGTCGCCCGTAGAGGTTGAGAGTGTCGAACCGAACCGCCTGGAGACCCTACCCACACGAGGAAAGAAGATCACTGGAAGGGTCTTGAGAGGTGAAGTTTTCATGCCGGCTGAAGGACCGACATGGCGAGGAAAAGAGTCTGCAATGCAATGGGTTGGGTTGAGTCCTTCTCTCGCTGCATCTTTGCGCATAGCAGCAGTTCGAGGTTGATCGTCACCCACCGCCGCCACTGCTTGTGGGCGTTTTTCTACACGCCAGTTTCGCGCCAATCGCCATCGGGAAACGAAGGCAGCATCCCGCACAACGCTCCCAGACGACCTGTTTGCATTTATTTCGCGTTTCGACTCGACTTCGATTTCCACACTTCCCCCACACGGGCATTGGCCGACACCGTTCGCCACGTTTAAATATCAAAGAACGTTATATCTGTTTTGCGTTTTTTTAAGAAAAGCGTATTGCGTCATGACTTCCATTCAACCGGTCGGACACGAACAGGTGTACGAGGTGGCGCTGCAGCTCTGGGACTCGCGATGCCGCGAGGTGCTGCCCCGGTCCGACCACGAGAGGTACTGCGATGTCCCGCGCCACGCTGATATACTAGACTGAGAAACGGTAACAGTAAATGTTTGCGATTGGCTTTCGACGACGGAGAAGAACGTGCGTACGTATTTTGTGGTCATCACCGCACCCCCCCCACCGGTTCCTCGTGATACATACGAAGCAATTCGGTATAACCGCCTTGACCAATGTTTGCCCTTGCTGGTGGGGATTGTTCGATAAACGAGACAAAGCCACTGGTGAATGAATGTCTCTGATCGGTTGATTTTTCCAACATTGTTGTAAGGCGGTATCTTCTTCGGATGCTTGGTTAATTTGTTCTGATCGATGCTGGAGACATCTAGGGAGGGTGGTTTGATCGGATTGGAAGAGAGCAAAGCTCGGGTCATACAGCAGTGGCTTAGTCGTTAGGTAGATAACCTCGCAAACTTCTCACGTTTGGGACGTGGGTTCGAATCTCGGCGCAGTCACATGACCTGGGATATTTTTCTCACAAGATGCCCAGACAATGGGGGCAGACAGCGATAGTTTCGTGCGTATTCAAGAACTTGAGGTCGACGAGGGAAAAAAATGGTTACGTCCTTCCCGCAACACAATTCAAGGCAGGCAATGTAGAAGAAAGGCGGAGAACAACCCGCGTGTGGCTGTGACCCCGGGTGGTGCTTATTTTAGCCGAAAGGTAGTGTACGGACTGGCGTCCAGAAAGAATGTGATGCCGACAAAACATTGAAAATGCATTTGTTGCGTTTTGTTTGTCTGTGGGTGATTGTTTCGCGCCAGCCACGTTGTTTATTTTTTTTCTGTTTTTGTGGAGGCTTGGGGTCTCTTCGAGTATGTCGGCGAGGGAAATCAATGCGCATCCATCGGAGTACGGAACATGGTCATTTTTCTGCTTTCGGCTCTCGTTGTTCGGAATGTAAGTCGTTGCTGTTTCGTCTCTCGTTGTACGGTAGCGTGAGTATTTTCTGTGTTTGTCGCTCGTTGTGGTCTGTTTGGGCGGTGGGAATCACCACGCCTAGAGCCGAGACATTGTGGAAAAGCATGTCCTTGTGTTTTGTTTTGTTGTTGATGTATTGAGCGTGGTTTCGCCATTTATTCCCGTGGCGGACATTAGTACCCTGGCCTGGTTGTATTAAATTGCTTTCTTGGCGGCCTGGCTGCTGGGGTAAGAATAATTGGTTAGTCTTCAACCATGTCTAGAGTCCAAACGTCACGGACGACGATAACAGCCATGGTGATTGGCTTGATGGATATGTTGATCTTTCAGTAGAATGATGTGACGATGATCCCCTCTCCGTGTTGATTGCAGATTTTCAGTTTACAGCGTGTAGCACAGGACTTGTGTTGTTAAGTTTCTTGGTACATGTATCATTTGATCCTTCCTTTTCTTCGTGCCGTCCCTGTTTAACGTTGGATATGTCCGCTTCACTCTTGTAGACTTTTTCCTACAATGTAATGTGTAATGTAGGTTGTTTGTGTTCGCCCCCCGCTTACGTTTCGCTATTGTGTATCCTCAAAATATCGCTGGGACTGCTGTGTTTTCTGGATCTTGACTCATTGGATCCTCCTTGTAATCTCTGCCAAAGGCGGCGAGAGTTGGAAATTGGTGTTTATTGGAGTTCTCAGAAGTGGCCCTTTATTTTATGCAAGGTCTCCGGGCTCGGGCGCCACGCCCGCGCCCTCAGAGTTAGGCTGAAAGGAAGGGTGTGGTGCGTGAAGATTGTGCACGGCATACCGAGGGCACGAAGCTGGAAAAGAGTTTCCGACTAAATGTTGCGACATGACGGAAGATTCGAACGCCATACTTCCCGTTCACTCAAGAAAGTGGTGTACCCCAGCGCGGTGCAGGAAGGACTGGATACTAGCTGTAAGGGTAGAGCAGCCGCGCGGACCAGGACATGAAGTTCTCTGACTCGACTCAATAAGCGCGTCACTGCTCATTTTCGTGAGGTCGGAGTATGAAAATCACGGAAGGAACAACCTTGCACAACAGCACCAACAATTCAACATGACTGAAATCGAGTTTGCATGTATGCTGCACCATTCACTTGAATACACCCCTGCCCATCAGCGCAGAATGAACAGCAGAGGTTCAAATAACGCACGATTCGCGTGCGGCAATAAGTGCCGCACGAACATGAGACCATGCACTACACGCAGTCAACGAGTACAGTAGAAAAACACCACCAACAGAACACGAAATGGGTGGGTGCTACACATTTAAAAGAGACAAGCAACAATGGAGCAGAGAAACAGCAGCCAAAGTTGAAACCCGTCACCGGCCATCCAACAGCCACAGCACACGAGGGACAAAGTCACGCCATGAGTTTTGCCGAATTTGGTTAGGCCCTTACCTCCCAAAACAACGTCGTACCGGCTATTGGGTGCTTTACTTGGTCTACACGGTCGATGAAAAACACACCACACCAGGCAAACAGTCGAATGCATTCACGTACAGAGACACGTAGAGGTGAGCATACACGTGTGTGACGAGGTGCCCGAAATTCATGCCGTACGCACTCCGCAATCTTAACACGTGGGAGGAGCGCCACACATCGCGCGCGCAACGAACGAAATTATCGAGCACAACAGCAGCGCGGTTCACAACGGCCCGAACACCTTCGTTCGGAAACACAAAATGGTTAGACTTGGGGCATTCCAAAACCGATCCAAGTCCCGACAAGCAGAGCGCACCCTTGCCATGCCGAAGAGCAGTGTGACGAAGAATTCACACCATGCTACAATTGTAGTGGGAAAAGGGTCCAAAGTTGAAGACCGACGTTGGCGGCATGTAGTCGCCCGATGGAGCAACGACGTTCACGAGTCTCGACGAGCCAGATCTCCACACCCCCTACTGCCAAACGTTGTCCTCCTCGTCTTCCCCTACGAAATCGGCTTCTTGATCACTCTCAACAACGTCACCGCCCGCACCACTACCGCGCTGCTCCGGCGCGTCGCCCTCGCCCCTCTCCTCTCCACCACCACTAACGCTTCTTTCATCCTCGAGCTCCACGTCCGGAGTCGATTCGGCAGCTTCTCCATGTTCCTGTGCTCGCGACGGCAAGTCTTGCTGCTCGGCGTCATCGTCATCTTCTTGAACCTCACCACCAGTATCGTCGCCGTAGCTTGCTTGCTCATCTTGCTCCTCCACAGCTTCGTTGGCGTTGTCGTCGCTGTCCCGCCTGGCGACATCCCGTGCCTCTCCGAAGGACTCCTGGGTCTCTTGCTCTTGGGAAGCTTTCTGATTGAGCCGTTCCTCTTCCAGCGCCTGGTCCAAGCGCTGCTCAAGAGCGAAGGCGTCTCCCTTAACTCTCTCCAGATCCCGCGTTAGCAGCTGCGATAGCATCCCACATTCGCACGAAAGACGGATCAATACCAAATGTCAACGTGCGAGAGGGCCGCATGACTCAGGAGATGAAATCTACCATGGATGACTCCACAGGTGCTCACAGAGGTCGAGCAAAAAAATCAAGTCTACGGTTTTCGCCGAATGTTGTGCCTAGAGCGAAAGGCATACGCTGGTGGCAAAATATGAAACCGCAGGCAGAAACGCAAACGGACACACTCTGACAAGGGGGAATGATGTGAAGGGAAAACACAAGACCGGGAAGTTTGGCCTACCTCCCGATGCTCGCTCTCCCAACAACGCCTTCAGCAGAACACATGCAGCTCAACAAAAAAAGGATTAATAGACTACTCGTTCGAAGGGATGGGTGAGAGAGAAACTTCCTGGGTATTGGACGTATCAACAACCTACACGTTGAGGAAGAAGTGATGCCCGACGGAACACGAAACACATGCAGAGGGAAATTTTTTGTCGACAATCCAGCTAAAAAAAATGCTCGTCCAAGAGAAACACAGTAGCGGGGATGTAGGAATAACGCAAAAAGTGAAAACAAACCAAGATTTGCGAAGCACGTGGTCACACGCGACGCGGTGAATACGCCACATTCACGTTCATACCTTACCACACAGAAATGAGGAAACAAAACATTACAGCAGAGGTCCCTGTTTAGTGCCGGGTGAATAGCGCCTGTGCCCGGTATAGTACCGGTGCTTTCGGCGGACACACACTGCACTGCCACGTCATTCTCAATAGTTTGAATAGTGCCGCTCCGGTACGGCACCGGCGAATTTTCTGAGCATTTGCCCGAACTAAACAGGGACCTCTGCTAAACTACTGGGAAAAGCTAAAAAAGACGTGGAGAACGATGGAGAAACCGAGCAAACGGCAGATTTGCTTGACGTGAAAAAGATGAATCATTCACCGCGAAAATATAGGGCAAATGATCTTCGGACATGGTTCTCCAGCAAGGCAAAATACAGAAAACAGCCAACTCAGTAATCAGAGGGAATGTTGTCACAAAAAAAAAAAGACGCTAAATACAGCGCATCGGCGGACTAAATAGGTACCTGGAGGCGGACGGATCCTCCCTGGCGAGACAGCATCTTTTCGGTTTCGCGCTCCACCAACCGGCACTCTTCTTCCCGCCTACCGACCTCAGATATCGCCTCGACGACCTTAGAAAACACTTCCCCAAGCGCGTGCAGGTGCCTGGCGTTGCACGGCATTGGTGAGCACCCGGGGGGGGGGGTTAGGAGCAGCGTGTCGAGGCAACGTGTTCACGTCCGTCTCAGCACTCAGAAGGGACAATCAAAACAAACAAAGCGTGAAAGATGGGTACAAGTGGCGGTGGCACTTCTTGTCCACTAATTTGCCCACCCATGAAACCTTTTTGATCGTGTGTACCCCCGACTCTTGAACGACCAAACTGCAAAGAATCGCTGACTGGTCCAACGGCAACGCCACGAAAAAATGCCTACGCAACACTCGACAAAACAGCAGTCGCACACACAATCGATGGAATCGATCCAGAGTATTCTTTTCGACGGGTCCACGAATGAACCAACCCATCGAACAAGGGTGGCAATTGAAAATAAACTTACACGCCAGCCCTTGCGTCTTCTTCCGACCTCCCCCTGTCCCAACTCTTTTCTCTCTGTCTCACTTGTACGCTTCGGTGAAGTCCTTCGCGCGGTCCTTGTTGGCCCCGCCACCCCCGGACTTGGCCTGCTTCGCGGCCGAGAATATCCTCTCCTCCGGCAAGGCCTCCGCCCTCCCCAGCAACTCCCAGGCGCCATTCGCCTCCCTGCGAGAGTCCAGGACCTCGGTGAGAGAGATCGCGATTTCCTTGGCGGGAAGAGGAGGGGATGGGACACACGACACGGGGGGGGGGGGGGGGGGGGGAAAAAAAAAAAGGGCCCCCAAAAGGTGAAAAAAAAAAAGGAAAAGGGGCGGGTTGTTTGGAAGAAAAAAAAAAATCCCAAAAACCAAACCGGGGGGGGGATTAGAATAA